AAAACAGTTCCTTCTGGAGCTCAATATATATGAAAAATTAAAATTTTGATCTTGTATGTTTGGGTAGGTTGAAATTGGGGAGGAAACTTGGAGGAAAAAGATTGCGAGAGGTTATGCAGTGTTAATGTGTAAAAATCCTTTTGATTATAAAAAGATATTCTTTGAAAAAAAATGCTCATTATAATATGTTAGTCAACGTGTTATAAAATGTTCATTACACAGTGATATTGGGTGCGTGACAAATATGTTCACTTGTACTTTTGCAATCAACCGAAGATTAGAATTAAATATCCATCTGCAGTTCCAATGGTGCACAGATCACTGTATTATTAGGATACATCAGTCAAAGCTTGGAGGTCTTTAATTGTATCATGCTAATTAAAGTTGGTATATAGTTTGTGAATTTGATGTCTTTTACCACCATAATTGTGGAAAAATATTAGAAATGTTGTGTAATTAAATTTTACAAGAGTTTCTGTAGTAGAAACTCAGCTAGCATATATTGCATCTCATTGAGTTGATTGCCAGAATTTTGAGTATCATATAATACATATGTATATGCCTGTTTTATATTTTGTGTGTATTAGTGAGGCAAGATACATGGTTCCTGCTTACAGGGCCAATGCATGGGGCAAGCTGGCTAACACATGAAATAGCCATATCTCTGCTTATTTAATAAAATGGTTATATGTGAAAACTTTTCACTATCAAATTAGTATTTTTTTTTAATTAAGATTGAAAATATATGTGTAGGGTTTGGGTGTGATACTGCAGCAGTGGTGAATATCCTTGCTCACAGGGATGCAACACAACGTGCCCTTATTGCCCAAGAGTACAGAGCTATCTACTCTGAGGATCTTCATAAACGTCTAGCCTCCGAACTTCGTGGTGATACTGAGGTACAAAATATAAGTGTTTTTTTTTTTTTTTTTGTTGGGAAGCTTTTTGATGTGTTCTATTTCTGTTTTGTTTATATCTTTTCAGGCCTTCCCGATATTTCATTTGATGAGTTGTTTTACTTGCTGCTTATGAGTGTTTCCTCTTAATGATGTGTGCTTTGAAATGATTTTTCAGAAAGCAGTATTGCTATGGATGTATGATCCTGCCATGCGCGATGCAACTGTAGTAAGACAGGCTTTGATCAACGACGCTAATCTAAAAGTTGCTACTGAAGTCATTTGTTCTCGTACTTCAGCTCAGATACAACACTTTAAGCAGATATATCATGCTAGCTTTCATGCTTACCTTGAGCATGATATTGAGAAGCAAGCATCCGGTGATCTAAAACATGTATCTTTCTCTCACTCTCTCTTGTGTACTTGTTGAAAGGATATTTGTTTGGTTAGTGATAGATAATTGTTAGTAAGATGCACTTGAAATAATAGTTTTTCCGTGTACTTGAATGGCAAATGTGGGATCAATCTCCTCTTTCGTATTATTTTATATCCAATTAGTGATACCTCTAGTTATCCTTCACCTATTTTTCTCTGCTTTAGATAATTAAACAAGTAAAGATACAATATACTTACACACGAGAATAATCATTTCACATAAATTACATTCATCATTTTCTGTGCCTGTTTTTGCAGCTGCTGCTTGCCTATGTTAGCGCAGTGCGTTATGAAGGCCCGGAGTTCGACAGGGGAGTTGCTGAGCATGATGCTAAGACGCTCTATAAAGCCGGGGAAAAGAAGCTGGGCACAGATGAGAAGACTTTTGTGCGTATTTTTTCGGAAAGGAGCCGGGCCCACCTAGTTGCTATTTCATCTGCTTATCACAGTATGTATGGGAAATCACTGGAAAAGGTAAAAGTGGTCTTTTTCAAGCATTGTGTATGTACATTTGAGTTTGACCTTTTCTAGCTCTGGATGGCGTAAAATAATGAAAAGAAAGAATGAAATATTTTCCTTCAGGCTATTAAAAGTGAAACATCTGGATACTTTGAGTTTGGGCTTCTGACTATATTGCGGTGTGCTGAGAATCCTGCAAAGTACTTTGCAAAGGTACAAAATATGGATTGTTTAATATTTTTGAAATTTTTTTTGCTTCTTTCTGTTCTTTCTTGCTTGTTATGGTAGAAATATTATGCTTTTTTGAGAATACAATGAAGGTACTGCACAAGGCAATGAAGGGCATGGGAACGAATGACTCGGCCCTGATTCGGATAATAGTGACGCGTGCTGAGATAGACATGCAGTACATTAAAGCAGAGTACCACAGGAAATACGGCAAGTCGCTTGATGATGCTGTTCATTCCGAGACTTCTGGCCATTACCGCACATTTCTCCTCTCTCTCTTAGGGGCCACCCACCACCGTTAGATTAGTTTATTAAAAAGAGTAAATAAAATAAAGATGAAAAGAATCCTTCTTTTCTTGATTTAGTTGTTTGTGAGTCTGATGAACTGCTGCTTTGCAAAGTAACTCTGTGGGAGAGAGCGAGAGCAGTCTAGTTGTTTTCTATTATATATGTTTTGTGTGAAGTGTGTAGCGTGGGCAGTGTAGTAGATTGAACGCACATAATTATGGCTTGCTTGTTATTTAAATTAAGAATAAAACTAATTAGTATGGTTTGCTATGTCTTGCTCATTGTTAATATTTGTAGTTGTAATACTTGTAATGTAAGATTGACCTAATGTAACAAACTTTTTACACGTATGCATACTTCTATTAGATTAGAAAATGTAATGCATGCATTTAAAATCTACCATATGAAGTAGGACATTTAATAACCTATATTAATCTAAGGACGAGTGTTTCTTTAAAAAATTGAAGTACCTAAAATTTCTTAGAGTGTTTCTGTAAAAAATTGAAGTATCTAATTTTTTTTTTTTTTTGAAGAAATTACCCTCCTCACTGCTTGTATCTTATTCCCAGACAAAAATGTCACCTCAAATTTTTTGGTACACTTTCATATTTAGTTTTATGCAATTATTTTTATTTATAAATATTAATGTCTTACCAAGTCAAAATCTTTCTTGATTATGATATAATGCGGAAATTATGTTAGGCGATATTATGTCCGAATTTCTTTCAACTGCCCATCACCAACATCTTTCCACGCACTTCAACCATCTCACCTCGATAGCACACATCTCCGTATTTTTCCATAGCACACATCTCGGCAGTCGCATATTGATTTATATGTTGTGCCATGCTTATGTTTTATATACACGTTAGTTAGTACTTATGAGGTTTATTTTACATTTATTTATTATTTATAGACCATAAACCGAAATGATAACACGTAATTGTCCTTCAACATGGTGAAATGCAATAAATAAATTAACAACAAATACAATAATTGAGTTTAATGTGATGCCATCACGACACATATTTTTGGGGGTTGAAGATGTCTTCACATCAATAATGTTAAGGAGCCAACAACCAATGGGAAAACTTCATGTACATGGGACAGCCTTACATGGAGCTGTCCCATTGGCTGTTGGCTCCATAACGGAGCCAACAGTTGGCTCCTTAGCATTACTGGTCTTCACATTATGCTCCTTTTCATTGCATCTGTTCCATTTGTTTTCCTTCCGATGCTCCGACGGCAAGCCTCTGGTTAGTTGAACCCTAGTAGCCTTTGGTTTATCTTTGGTTTGGTGTTTGTTTTTCTCTTTACATCACACCTGTGTAGTTCTCTTAGTTTACACGACTTGTGTTGGGGCTTAATACCCGGGTTATAATGGAACATTGCATTTTTTTTTCTTATTATTGAGTTTCATNCCAAGAATCATTTTATTTTTTACATTTAGTTTTCGAAAGCATTAACCTAAACGTGTTCAAAGACCGGGCCGATCCGGGTCGACTCGGCGGGCCTCAATATTGGGCCCGTAACCGGCCCGACAATATTTAAGGGGTTAAGGGATTCCGCCTATTCGATCCTTGGCCATGTCTACATTAACCAAACCTATCCAAATACAAAAATAAATAAATTAGTAAAAATCAGCAGTTAGCCACACAAATGAGTGACTAAAGGTAAAGTTGAAACTTCTAGTCTGATATTGTCTATAGAAGTTCTAGAACAAATCATACAAAACTACCAATGATGTACCACTGCCTAATATTTCTCATTTATTGTTTTCCAAGAATTTTTCATGTATCTTTAGATTTTATATTTCTGACGTATCTTTCCTTTTCCAAGTTACAGTATCCATTAAAAGATGACTCTAATAATCAGTACTTCCTTTTGCAGTTAGAATGATAAGTAGGTAAACAATTAGACTAATAAATCTTGTAAGTTGTAACTACCCCAAAACCTTCAGAATCCAAAAGAAACGGATTAGCAATAGGCCAATATGAGACCCATATTCTAACTAATGCATCATCTGGAAATTGCAAGCAAGTTGATGCTAAGCTAATGCCCATAGTCAGTAGGGACACATAATCTTGAAATACAAAGTGAGTGGGAACAATGGCTTCTCCATCACATAGTTACTACTACACTCTAGCATGAAGAATAGGGGACACCGAAATTAGCTAAAGAAATTTACACCTTCTGATTCTCTTTTCCTACAAATATACACAGGAAGACATTTGTTCTTTGTGCTTGTAACAAATTCAGCAGCCAAATGAAATATCAGTGCCCACAGAATTGGCATTTATTTTCCTGTGAGATGAGAAGAATTTGGCTACAGCTTGATAGAGAGTTTTCTCCTGGAACGGTTTGGACACGTAGCCATCCATACCGCATTTCAAGCACTCGTCCAGAGTGGCGTGTATGACATCAGCAGTCATTGCAAGAATCGGCATATGCCACTCCACATTCTTCTCCATCTTTGCTTTCATCTCCATCTCCCTGATTAGACGAGTCGCCTCGAAACTGAACCAAAACGGAAAACCCACGTATTTAGGGTAAGATTCTACTTTTACATCAAATCAACTTTATTTATTCTGTTTTAAAATATTATTTTAATATACTCACTAACAACTAACCATACCACATTTTTCAAAATAAACTATGGTTTAAAAAAAAAAACAATCAAAAACTAGTTCAATCCATATCCAATCAGTTTGTTTCTTGGATTACTGAAAATGCCCTTCACTTCAGAGTTGTTTCCAATAATATCATCTGGGGCCTTATTTGAGAAAGCTTAAGATACTACATTGCTAGAAATTGTATCTCGCCAATGAGCTCATATAAGATCCAAAGTCATTGTTTGCGCGTTATAATGCCAAGATAAAATCGCAAGTAAAACATATAGAGTAACATACATACCCGTCCATCTCTGGCATCTGAATATCCATAAAGCACGCGTCGAAATCATGCGGTATTTGGAGAAAGGCAAGCGCTTCGTGGCCACTCTCCGCACACTTCACTTCGGCCCCAAACTTGTTGAGAGCACCTGCCGCTACTCTTCGGTTCACCACATTGTCATCCACAACAAGTATTTTCTTCCCACTTAAAAGTCTCCCAAGTCCACTGCTCCTCCCATTTTGCGTTTTCTGGTCTATTCCGAGCACTTGCTGCAAGCAAGCAGCCACCATTCTCGACCGCAAAGGTTTCATTACCACTGTCTCCGCAAACCCAGCGGCTTTAGCTCGTTCGGACTCTGAAGGTGTAATGTTAGTCGCAAGGAGTATCATTTTTGGCCGATTGGTAGGCATTTCTTCTTCTTCGCCTGAAATCCATGCGTCTTTCTCCACAAGAAATATATCTGCAACCTTTCCACTGCTGAAAAATAAAAGATAAACAAAAATATATGAAAAAAAAAACACACACAGAGAGAAAGAAGAAAGACATTAAAAATGCTTACTTAGAAATAAGGCCTGCATGGATGCTACCGATGGCCTCTGCCTGAATCCCGAGCCTCCTTAGGTGGTACTTAGTAACAGCTGCCCTAACAGGATTTCCATCAACAACAACTGCTCTCAGGCCTTTCAAGGCAACATTCAGCTCATCTGAAATAGTCTTACTCACACAGTTATTAACTTCATTTCTCTCGCAACTCTGGAACTCGACTGTGAATGAAAATGTGCTTCCCACCTGAGGCAGGCTAATAAAGCTCATCCGGCCACCCATGAGTTCGACAAGGCATTTACTTATGCTCAACCCAATTCCAGTTCCTCCGTAATTTCTAGAAGTCGAGCTGTCAGCTTGCATGAAAGGCGTGAAAACCCGTTTTTGTGCTTGCTCGGGTATGCCAATCCCTGTGTCCTCCACGCACACTGTCAAGGACACACTTTCACTTTTTGGGTTATTGTCATTTTCTGCTTTGCTCGAGGGATTGTATAACAATTTCTCATCCAAATGCCTCAGGATTTCCCAGCTGCTTCGGTTATCGGCTGCTTGTTTGCCGCTAAGTGTGTTGAATGATCGGGAGTAGGATTTTGGTGTGGCTTCAGCTTCTCCATTCGAGAGGTTTTCGAGTTTTGCGTCTTTCGTGGGTTTAGATTGTGCGGTTAGGTGGACTTGGACAAATATGTGTCCTTCTTCAGTAAACTGTTGATAAACGAAAAGGAAAGATTAAAATTTAATGAAAAGAAGGCCTCGTGTAAAAAGCTCCGTCCTATTAAGATAGTCGTTTCATGATTTTCCTTATATTGCCTCTCATCAATATGCTATAAAAGTAAAATTACTACTGAAGCTAAAAGACCGGATTCAGGCTATGTCGTCGTCAATACGGAATTAATGCTTTCTATAAGGAAACAAGTCTCATCTATTGGTTTCTAATCTAAAAGAAAAGTTCTTAGAGTTTCCCAATGGCGACTATATGAGCCAAATTTGATTCTGATATTTTCACTTCATGCTTAAATAAAACAAACTTTATCAATGATAGACACATAAATCCATTTTAATCCTAGAATTTGGACTTACTTTTACTGAGTTCCCAACAAGGTTGATGATGACCTGCCTGAATCTTCCTGGATCTCCCACGACAATTTCAGGCACTTTATCTGAGACAAAAACAGCCAACTGCAGTTTCTGGTTAATTACATTATATTATAACCTGTAAAACCGTAATGTAAAGATACACATCAGTATCTGCAGACACACCTCGATGCCCTTTTGCCTAGATTTCTCAGAAAACAAAGAGAGGACATCGTCGAGAATTGACCTAAGGTCAAACGGGACAGCTTCAAGCTCTAGCTTTCCGGCTTCAATCTTTGCACGATCAAGCACCTCATTTATCAAGGTTATCAGTGCTTCACCACAACCCTGAGCCGTTTGAGCAAAGTCCCTTTGTGTTGAACTAAGTTCTGTATCTAACAGCAATTGTAGCATCCCTGCAAGTACAAGAAACAACCTGTATTGACCTTCTACTTACCACTAATGATTAGATTTATTAGATAATAATAGAAAAAACAGATACTTAAGAAATTTATATGTTCTTTTAAAGAAAATATATTTCATGAGAGAGAGGCTAAAGTTTACCTAAGATCCCGTTCATGGGAGTTCTTATTTCATGAGAGACAGTGGCTAAAAACTGCACATCAAATAAGAGTCAAAGTTGCCGAAGCAGATAGTAACTATATTGTTGAGGAACATAAGACAGTGAATGGTAAGAACCTGAGATTTGGCAACATCAGCAGCTTCGGCTTGAACTTTGAGTTCTTGCATCTTATTGAAATCATCTTCGACTTTGACAATGTGGCTTACTGCACTATATGCCATATATCCAATCAGGAAGCCAATCATGAAGACGAGG